ATTGTATGCAAATCAAGATTTTTCTAAAAAGTTGTTTTGTATTATTTTCTTACTAAGGAAAAATATTTTTTATTCTACTACTCAATTAATTGATGGAATACCCGGTAAAAATACTCAATTACTAAGACAATCAATAGCTGCCGTCCTACTCTCAGCTCAACTTTTAAGTCACAGTTTCCAACAAAATGGCAACATCTCTCTCTGTGCTGCTTCTTTTAAATGGAGCTCCTCCCACCTTTGCTCCAGCACATAATTAGCAGACAGACAGAGAAGCCGGTCTTCAAGATCAGACAAATACCAAAGCGCTGGAGCTCGTGCAGGTCGCAGCTTTGCCACAAAGTAGATCCCTCTGTGTTCACTTCGGACGCTGACATTATCATTGTCTGATTAGATAGAGCTAGACTTTCCCGTTTCTCCCCATGCAAACATGCTGTATGCATAGCAACACTGACACCTGCTGACAACTGGTACCAACTGACAACCTGTCCAATAAATAACAACACTTGATCACACTCTCTCAATAAACGCATGGAAACGAGATGGAGACGCTCCCCATTTTACACCACTCAGTAATGGATGAACTACTCTGCCTGTAAGACTTCACATACTGACTTTGCAGATGGTATTACTTCTAAACGGCACTTCATGTCCATATGACACTGGCTACTTTTTTGCTTTTCTAAAAGTTGTAATGGCGTCCTATAAATGAAGGTGTACGCTACCAGTTAGAACTGTGGTTCCCACTATTTTTTACTTTTAGCCCAGCTGTTTCATTTTAGACGAATCCCGGTGCACCCCCTGTGATCTTTGGCGCCCGCCTAAGGGGGTCCCGGACCCCGGGTTAGGAACCACCGAGTTAGAATGTACTGTATATACAGGCCATAAATTGTCAGTTACAGAAACTCAAGTCCGTCCTGACCTGCACTCGAGTGTGACAAAACATTAGGAATTGACTCTACTGTACTAATACCCGATTGTTTTCCAATCTATATCAAATCTATGTCTCTCCCTCTGCATGTGTGTACTGGGTGGTTCAGGATACAGTGATTGCCCCTCCTCATGGAGTGGTTCATGTCTAGTTTGAAGCTGGGTTAAAGCTTACAGTTCTATACCTCCTCACCACTAAAGTTATCTGAGCTCTCAGCATGCATGTGTGCATGATGCTCCTTTATTCTGCGGATCCCTTTTAGTTTTGGATGTGTTTGAAGTTTGTCTAGAGACCAAGCGTCTTCTTTAGTTTGTAATCCTTTTGTAGGTTTTTAAATCATCATTTACTTAGCAATCCAAGTTGTCTGGTTATTTCAGTCTAGACCAAAGCGGGCTGGCTAAAACTGAAACTGAACTCAATAAAACAGATGAAAACATTGGCCTCAGACTGTTGTTAGCTTCTTGCTAATCACAATAAAGATATTATCCGGCCACAAGTATTTGTTCAATACTTGTGGCCGGACAAAAGAATATATAATCCACTACAACTATACATAAAGTACAGGTACCTGGCTCACCCCTTGCTTCATCCTGCAACCGCTCCAAGATCCCTTCCGGTCACTGACGCTGATCTTGGGTCTGTCTCCTCTGGATGGACCACTGCCTGGATCTTCCTCTTGGCTGGCCCGTCTAAACATGTCGAGATGCAAAGATTCAAGTCACACAGCTTTCATTTTGTGCCACATGTTAAATTGATGCAAAATGTGAAAACCAAGTTTCAGTTTGATAGTTGATGCTTTTTCTGTGTCTATCTCATGCACAGCTTGAGAAGGTGTTTTCACCAAATTGCTTGATTTCACCATGTCTCAGGACAATGGAGGCATGTACAAAATGTGCTTTACTGACATCGCCCTCACTCTCCAGCTGCACCTCTTGAGGTGGAATAACATTCATCACTACTACACAGCTTTGGCCCAGTTCCATTTACAGGAGGTGTTCTAGTTAGTAAATCAAGCAAGCGATATGTTGACATTGGGGAGCTCAGTGACTCCCCCGAGCAGAGGTCCAATCAGCTCGCAGTGGGAGAAGTACTCAGATCTGTTACTTCAGTAGAAGCAGCACTACTGCAGTGTGAAAATACTCTATTACAAGTAAAAGTCTTGCATTTAAACAGACTGTGCTGTGACCCTGGAGACACCCTGAGCTCCTTCCGCTGTGTCGGCACCGAGCTCGTCTGAGAGGACAAACCAATCCAAGACTTTTGGAATTATTGCCAGTAATCAATAATGCACACACTACAATACTGCTCCCAATTCAACTAAAGGCCGCATAATTGAGTGTTTGTCATGTCTGTATGCTCACTGATCTTAAGTAAAAAGTCATTATCAAAACATTCTAAGAAGGTACTGAAAGTAAAAGCACTTGTTATGCAGAATGGCCCATTTCAGAATCATATATGAAATCAATGTATTATAATTATTGATGCATTCATGTGTTCATGTTGCAGTTGGTAAAGACCATTTTTGCTTACCTAATTGACTGCTGGGTAGCTTAACCAATAATAATACATCATAACTAATTGATTGTTATTTTGTATTATTAACCTACTGTAAATCTGCAAGTTAACTAGTAATTAACTAACCTGTCAAACTAATGTTACAAGGTAAAATGTAAAATATTTGCCTCCAAAATTTGCTGGAGTAAAAATACTCAAGTATCCCTGACAATTGTAATGAAGAACATTACTTAAGTAAATTTAATTACTTAGTTAACGTTATGCTCCAACACCACATTATAGTTTTTCAATGAATAGACAATGAAACTGCTTATAACTGATAACAGCTAGCTAGGTTTCCTCCACAATGGCAGACTAACATTACCACAACACCTGCGAGGACAGGCTCGTGCTGGTTTACTAGCTTATTATTCATGCTCAATACGTTTGCCAAAAAAAGCACATGATAATGACATACAGCAACAGAGGTAAAGCAAGAAACAATTGTATAACACAGCAGGCAATTAAAGTCAGCAGCAAGCTCACCTACAAGTGTAAACGTGGTGTTTTAGTTTGACCATAGCGGCATTTCCGGCCTTTCCTCACCTGCTCACGTCTTCAGTTTGGTTAGATCGCGCGCACCAAAGCTTTCTCACTCCTTGAAGTCAGTCAGGCAGTCCACCCTGTTTACATCCTGAGGCCACATGGCGACAGCGACGTCTGCTGGCGATTTACTGGTACTACCGTTGGAGACTACGGTGGCCCTGAGAGCTCAACCATAAAGTATATGATGCATGTAAACCATAAAGTATAGGATGTAAACCCAAGAAAAGAAGACAAATGTTCTTTTCATAATAAATGATAAATGACAATGATGAAAAAAGATTCATAAATGTAAATTTAACAATACAAAACCATATTTCGCTGTTTTCTGAGGGATGTTGAGCAATTGTTGAAACTGCTTTCAATTTTTATTATGCAATATACCCTTGGCTCTTTTGTTATTCTTCCAATTGTCTACTATTATGTTCTTCTGTTTAAAGCTTATTTGCTTATTTATTCATTCATTCAAAGATTACATTTTTTAATTAGATAGCAGAGGTAAGTTATTTATGTTATTTAATAGTTATATTTTATACATTAATAAATATGATTATTAAGAGTGTTCATCTTACTTACTCAGATATACTTGTATGTATACAACACATCATTCTTATGGTGTAGATGGCTATAAGAGACAAAAGTAAGTTCATAATTAATATATAAGTGCATCAATGAAAACATTGTATGTCCAAAATGATCCATCACATGTTTCTCTGTTCCATTGGGCAGGTTTCTTGCTGTGTCTTTGACATTTTGGGGGCATCTGCGAGTGCAAATAATCCCAGGAAGCTCCAGCATCACAGCAGACCACTGAACCACCGTCAGTGCCCCTCTTGCATCAAGACTCCAAACCCTTTCTGAAGAGGCAGTGGGTCAACAATGAGCATAGGACGACAGAGGTCAGTCCATCCCTGGTCTGACTCACCGAAATTAGGCTGTGGATGTGAGCGTGCCATCGGCCGCCTATTCCTGCTGGCCTTCTTCTCCCCTTGAGAAGCCGTCATTCTCTGCTTCCTCCGTGCCGGTGGGTTTGGAAGCTCATCACACACTCATGAAGCTGTCACCATCTGAACACCGCTTTTACAACTTGAATGGTTTGGTGTTGAATTCAATAAACAAAAACACCAGACATCTATAATGATACTGTGTTTTGTGAGATATTTTTAACCCTCGGTGCTACTGGGTGAACATAAAGCTTCCTGTTTGCAGATAACATTCATAGTTACAAATATAAGACAAATGTTACCGTCACTGGAGGCTATGGAGGGAGGACAGTGACATTAAAAGATATGCCATCATCACTATCGGCAAAGGATGTATGAAATAAATGAAGTGGCCTAAATGTTAACTATCTGTCTTGATCAAATTGAACTTTCATTTATTTACTTAACTAGATCTAAATGATAGAATGTCGGGCTTATTTTCAGCCAGGCAGAGACAGCATTTAAAGCTACATAGTTAAACAGGATGTGGCAAGATGCCAGAACCTTCTCTGTTTGATTTCTGTGGGTACGTTTATATAACCTTTATTCCTCCAAGGTTCCTGGAGCTGATCGTAAACATCCCGTGAATCACATTCTCTAGTAAAGTATAACCAGACTCAAATAGCACCTCTCTAGAAACGACGTCACGACCGGGTTTCACAATAATAAAGAGATAAAGAGCAATGAGATAGAAAAAGAAACACAGCATGATTTAAAACATGGAAAATAAAGTAAGCAAAGGTCTGAAAGCACATCTTCAGCTGCATTTTAAAGAATAAATGCAAAATATTTAGGAGCCACGAACTGTGACTGAACTCAAAGGTTTGGATTTAGAGCTCGGTACGACCTACAGTTGTCACACAAAATAAAAAAAAGACATAGTTGACATATAGGGCATTACTTAAAACGGAATGAGGAAATAGTTTGAGGATAATCCTGTCTAAAGAGTGTCCGCAGATAACTTTTAATGAAACATCACATGGAGACAGTGATAGTGCGGACTCATGCATGCCTTAGTGTTTATTGTCAATGACACAGTGGCTTACTGTATCTGTGAGTATTGTTGTAGTGAAGCACAAGGCACACCCATGTCAGTAAGTTGTAAATATGACACAGACAATAAGTCAATTACATCTGCCATGACTATGTTCAAAGACTGAGTGTGAGAGTTTGTTCTTCCTCAGCAGTCCTCTTCATGCAGACGGCACAGTAAAAAACATGAAATGAAATGTTATCATTGTCATCTTATACATTGTACATATACATGAAATGAAACCTCTGCATTGAACCCATCCCTAGCTTATTGGGAGCAGTGGGCTGCTGAGCAGCGGTTGGAGTTCGGTGTCTTGCTCAGGGACACTTCGGCACAGGTACTCGTAGCAGCCAAGGATCGAACCGCCGACCTTGCTGTTGCCGGACGACCAATCTTGCCACAATCTTACTATTTAAAACACTTTCTCTAGCATGGTAATGGGGTACGTGACTATAATGGTGAAAACGCATGTGCACTTTTTTATAGTTTTATAGTTAAATTGACTTCAATTCATCAAAGAATTACTCCGTTTTTGGATTCTCCGTTCACTGTGGAGGCGTGGGAGAAAACAATTCTTCAAGAGCTCAAGGTAACACACGATGAAATACAAATATTCATGTCAAAGGTGAAGTATTTTTTGAACCATCTTGCAGAGGGAGATGTGGATGTGTGTAGTAGTGTTGAGTGTGTTCAACTATCTCTGTCTACAGGACATTTGTCACACTATGTCACATAGAAACTCTGCCCTTTGTGCAAACTTACTTTTATTACAACAAATAAATAGCTTGATTTTTATTCAAATACAAACATTCAATCTGTACTAATAAGTGTATAAAAATAATGAAATGATACAATTTTGTTTGTACAGCCTTTTGGTTTTGTTTTACGAAAATCTTCCTGATCAATAAGTTCCCTCGTAGCTTCAGATTTAAAGTGCAAGGTGTGTGACAGAGGAAGTACCGCTGATTAATGAAAGAGGTTCCTCTTCGGGTTCACTGAGAACTCGCTCAATCATTCTGTGTAGATACAAAAATATATAGGATTAAAAATGAACTTGTTGACAAGAATAATTAGTCATTATTAGTCTTTTGAGAGGCATAATAAGTGTTTGGGTTGTCCGTCCGGTCCATTCATGTGAAAGGGATATCTATCTTAGTTTGTGGTCTACCGTTTTGAAGCCTCTAGTTCAGCGTTTTTGCCGTCGCCATCTTGTTTATTTGGCTGTCGCAATCTTGCTTTTTTACAACCAGAAGTGACACGAGAGGGTGGAGCTAAGTTCAACTGTACGCTTGATAAGACATTCTTCGGTGACCGAAAGGTTACAATTAACTTACTCTTACTTAAAATACTCTGTGAAAGTTCTAAGACGCAAAACACAGCTAACTCCCAGACCCATTGTCAATCACAATGTAGCCCCGCCCTAAAGTATCCCCTGCTTTATGGTCTGTTTGACTCTAAATGGACCATAATGTACTAAATGAACATCATGCTGTATTGAAGAAGACTTGAAACTATGGCCAGTAGAGAGAATGCAAGTTTAAGGCACTTCTGCATCGGCTTCACTTTTCAAACCCGAACGTTCACACCTGGGATGAATTGATTTGATGTTAGAGGTCAAAGGTCATTGTGACCTCAAATCTGTTCTGTTCTCGTGAATGTAATATCTAATATCTGGGGGAATTTCATCACATCTTGCACACAAACATCCACCTGGACTCAAGGATGAACTGATTCGAATTTGGAGGTTTGTGACCTCACATAACACATTTGTGGCCATAACTCAAGAATGCATGTTGATTATGATGATTTCCTACACATGTCTCAAAGTATAAAATGATGAATGGATTTTGGACGGATGCGGATGTAAGATGCAACTTGACTGGTTGGGCGGAGCAACCGCGAGGTGCTAAGTCAAGTTAATTCCTCAAAAGCAACAATGCATTTGAGCAATTCTAATCACATTTGTACAGAATACAGAGAATTACATCTCCATTGCGTAAACATACCGTACCTGCATTTGTTCATATATCCAGTTGATAAAGTAGGTGACATTGCCGTAGACTCCTGGCTTGTTCCTCAAAGCACATCCGATCCCCCAGCTAGTGTCCCCTGCCAGCCACCATACATCTCCCTCCTTGACCACCAGGGGCCCTCCACTGTCACCCTGCAGGAGACCACATCTCAGGTCAGTGTGTTTGTGTGTGTTGAAGTGACAGAGAGAACGAACTCAGACTAACCTGGCATGTATCGACTCCTCCCTGCAGCTTGCCGGCACAGATCATGGTCTCAGTGATTTTTCCATTCAACACCTGAGCGGTGGTACAGGTCTCTCTGCTGTAGATGGTCACCTGGGCCTGATTTAGTTCGTCCGGGGTTGGTCCTGAGAAATATGAATGAGTAACACATACAGTTAGCTCAGTCAAGAATTGAAAAAGCACTGTTCCCTTACTTGGACTTTCAGCCTTAAAAAAAGGGGGCCCTGAGGCATTTTGGACAAATCTAGAGAGGAGGAATGAAAAGTTCAGAAAACTAGTCATGGGAAGTTGGAAAATATATAGACCATATGAGCGCAGTGCTCCCCATCCTGTGATCCAGGCTTGACGTCCAGCAGAGAGGTCCATGCCAGTGTTGGGGAGACACACTGGCTTCACCGTTCCTGAGACAATAAACATGTCTTCAATTTTTGCCGTTACTAATGAAGAAATTATTTTTCAAATGGTGAAACATAACTTTGGCTTGCAAATACTCACTTGTGATTTCAAGAGGCACATCGAGCTTCAGGAGAGCAATGTCATTGTCGTTAGTTTCCGTGTCAAACTTTTCATGACTGATAATTTTGTTAACTGTTTTGCCAGTGCTGAAGATCATCTGACGCAAGCTCACGTCACCTGACTGAACCCTCCACAGTCCGGGATGAGAGTACCTGCCAAGAGGTCAAAAACAGTCAGAGATAGGGAAAAGTATTTTCTGAATGTCTATCGCAAGACAGTAAAAAATAAAAAATATTAACAACGAAATGCAAATAGTATAAAGGGACTTTAAATAAAGACTAGGCACTCACGTTTGGAAGCAGTGTGCAGCCGAGAGGATCCAATAAGGGCTGATGATGGAGCCTCCGCAAATGTGTTGACGGTTGATCTGGAGACTGACCTGCCACGGCCAGGCCCCTTTGGCTGCCGGCGTACCACCCACAATGCGAGCACTGGGGGCCGCTGAACTTACTCCGCATTCTGAGGGGGGGGGGGAGAAGCTTGATTTAACAAAAAAACAGTGCTGATCTCTTAGATATTTGGTCCCTTTATCCAGAGGAAGTACCACTGTCTGGATGGATAATCCCATTTTCAGAACTTTGCTCTTGTCATCTAAATTCCTACATATTTCAGTGCTGTAGTTATGTCTGAAGTAAAGCAATACTTTACCAATACATTGAAGCTTGACTGCTGTGTCGAAGCAAAGGAGGCTGCAAAGGAAAGGATGACAGAAATTGATATTCAAGACAAAGAAAATCGACACTTATTTAGGAGTTCTACATTTCCACCGTGTGGAGTAAGACTGATTCAGTTCATACTGTGTAGGGTAAATATGCAGTGATAAGCGGGGTGTTGTACCTGTATGAGAGCTGGGACTGTATATTAGATCCATGGTTACTTCCAGGCTTCATCCTCATGTATCCCTTTGAGGCCAAAGAACCTGCACTGGTTTTGGTGGAGGACACATAATCCTGCCTGTGGGATGGACAAATGTGTGATCAGCGAAGGAAGATGAACACACTGAAAAAGTTCAGTCAGTCAAGTCATGCGTTGTTGATATGACAGAGGTTCCTCCCAGACTGCAGCTATAAAAAATATGTTAATCTGCACAATGTTTTCATTTTTTTACTAAATCAGTTAAGGCACTTTCTTTAAAATTACCAAGAGGAACTTTTATTTTTATTTTGAATCTCTAATTTTATTGCATGCAGTAGGGTCTGACATTCTGCTGTGCCTCCCTTCCCTCCAGCGGGCCCAGCAATACGGCCTGGGTCTCCAGCAGCGTAGTGCCGGCTCCCAGCGGGGACCTGCAGAGCAGCAAGGGGAATCTCTGCTCCTGGCCGGAGGAGGAGCTGCTGCTGCCGGGCGCTGAGCTCTCCTCCTCCTGCCGCAGCTCCGACTACAGATCAAGGAGCTGCCGGAGGCCCCGCTGGAGTCTGAGCTGAAGGAGTTTTCTGGTGAACCTTCATGATTTTGTCTGATTTTGCAAGGAATCCGACCGATGACAAGCACAAAGAATAGAAATAGCCAATCTTCTCTCTGATGGTCTTGTTTACTTATGTGGGTCATATAGAGTCATCAGTATCAAACTGATTGTTTCAGTAGCAGTTCAAAGTTCCTCACATGGACTTCAAGTGCTCCTTAAAACATAATATGTTGGCCTCTTTGCTTTAGGTTGCTGCTATTCTTAAAATCATTTTGTTTTTCAACGGTAATTATTAGCTTCATTGTGACACAGACAGTCGACAAATAGTTTCAGTGGCTTTTACTTTCTGACAAGAATATATTATGAGGAAAACAATGAGTGCTTGATATTTTAGCATGGAAATTCTATGATACCAGCAGCAAATTATTGCAAAATGTCATGCAGTGTGTGTTGTGCAGCAGTGAACAGTGGTGAAGAAGGCCATCAGCACCTCTTGTACCCCATCTGCTCACACACAGCCCTCCCGTAGTTGTTGTTCCAGTTTTCAGCACACACCGGCATCCACGTCTGCCTGTCTGATGAGTAACCCTCCAGCATGAAGTGGGTCCCGTGGAGGCGAACTGTGAAGCAGACCGGACAACGCTTTTTAGCCGCCATCACGTTGACTGACTGAATTACTTATGCATGTTTAGGTGCTGATGTTAACGTCTCACAGCACTGAGATTCATCCTCTCCGTGAGGACAGTCCCTTACACCGTCGCACCACTGGGAGGGGCTCAAACACTTCCTACCAGTTCCACACGACTTCCCCATTAAACACTGGTAGTACACTGCAAACACACATGTACAGCGTACAGCACACATGCAACAGCACACAGGAAATCAAACTCATGCGATGACAAAAAACATTTTATGCGGCTACAAAGATCTTCGAATGAACTTACAGAAGTACCAGAGCAAGACGCCGACAATTGCCAAGATGAGAAGCACAGACAGGGATGGACACAGGATATATTTCACCCGACATTTCTTTGTTCCTGCAACGCAAGACAAACAAAAGTTTTGGGATGACACTGATTAAGTAAAAGAAATATACGAATTGTATGCTCCACAAGATTTGAATAATGTCACACATGCAAACAGGTCTTAGCAGATACTAAAACTAAAGGTACTGTAGATCTGAAACACAGTTTAAGTCTCTAACACAAAACTAACTGAGTGAAGCTTCTTCTAGCTGCTTAATGTTTATGGAGAATATAAATGATATGACTACAACTTGGAGGGCTTTGTGTCGATGCTAAATTGCTTTCTTTTAAATCTACCGTATTGTCCTATAACTTTCCATAAATGTCTTTATGTTTCAAAATTATAACACCTTCATAAAGAGTATAAGAAGATGATTAAAAGAGAAGTAATCATAGCAGCCTAATAACAAACTGAAGAGAGGCTACAGCATCATTTTGGAAGAGCAGGGTTTTGTCTTTGATGTTTTTCTCATCCTAGATCAATACTATATTTAATCTTATAACTATTCTATGGTCGCCATCATTTTGAATGCAAACTTTAGTGGATTATGTAAAAATGATTGTTCCATTTACATAAAGCAGACATGGTAGGGGGTTGGAATTGTTTTCCCAGTCAAGGAGAGGGTCCATTGAAAATTTCAGCAAAGCTGGGGAGGCCTGCGGGGAGATCATGCGTTTGGCCATGAGTGTGTGTATCTGTCTGTCCGTCCATGGCTACTACTGTCCGTCTACTACTGGACCGATCAGACTAATATTTCCTTTGCATATTTATGACTGTTTGCTCAAGGACCTCTCGTGGTTGTGGTGATTGATACTTTTTGAAAAACCTATTGTGTGTTTTCTTGAGTCGTTGACTGCTGACTCCTCACCCCTCTTGACCGGCCCAGTGACTTGGGAGGGGAGCTGAAGACACACCTTGCAGAAACATGCATTCTATTGAGTGAACTTTTATTTTGTTTAAACAGTGAACCATAAGGTTCCGCTGCCTTCCCCATCACAATCATTTAAATGCACGATAAATTAGTCACCAATGTGATGATAAAGTGCTTGAAACATGGCCATAATGGGTATTTAAAATATCGCTCTAATTATTTGTTTTCTAACAGAATGATCTTTGTGAGGTAATTCATTTTATATACAGTATATCTCAGTAACTAGAGTCTCATTGGTTTAATGTTGGACCATGTGACTTTTTCTAAACCACAGACACTGTGGTTATGGAATAATAGTTCTGTCCATTATAAAACAGCAGCACAATAATAGAGCACAACGTCACAACCAGGGAAGAGTGATACAATTAGAAAAGTCACTCTTACTTTACATAGCAATGATATTTCTCACATCACCTATTTTAGCTGTGTTCGTAAGGCTGCAGCAGTTTGTTTTTTTGCTCATGAATTCAACCTTTCATATTTAAAAGAAAGAATATGTTATATAGTCAAGCTTTAAGTAAGGCAGACTTTCTGTTTCTAAAGTATGAATACAAATAAGTTAATCATTAAATGGGATGCTTTTGTTCTGGATATTTGCCTTCTGACTGATTGGAACCACCTTTGTATTCTACGCGGTATTGCTTTACAAAAGGCTCGTGACACAACATGAGTCATCTGTTTTTTGCACCTGTCTTTCGTCCCGTGTCATGCGACGTTCCAGGTGTCACGGTGTGGTGGGTGTTGATGGTTTTGGGAGACACAGCAACGTAGCTGGGGGTCACTTGTGGGAGGTAAGGGTATATACCCTGCTGTGGGGCACTAGGAGGGGGTCTCCTTTCCTCATGCTGGAAACCTACGTTGTCATAGGTGGGACCATTTGCCTGAAATAGATTTAAGGAATAAAAACAGATTCTATGGATAACACAAGGTGATCTGGATTTACTCAAAAAAATCAATCATTTCACATTAGAGGATATGGTGATCAGTGGTGTGAAATAAGGAGTAAACTGTTCAAAATAAGTAGAGAAAATATATGGAAACAATGGAAATATTGTCTTTTGCTATGAAACTGAACTTACCTGATAATCATTCATAATGGAACTGGTTACACTGCCTGGGGAGGGAGACTGTGGAACCTCCAAAAGGTTACAAAGCATTTTAATCAAAATGAGCGAAAAACTGGTCACGAGTACAGTACATGACTCACCTTATGACTAAACTGGAGCATAACTTACAACAATTTTCAGAGAACAAAACCATTCGATTGAAAAACGTGCTCATTAAAATAAGGTCACAAGAAAGAACATAAAACATATATAGCAGAAATACAAACTTTCTTCCAAAACACTGATAATTCCCAGGTTTTAAAGAAAGAACTCCAAATGTCAAAAACACAATTTAAAAAACACTGACTTAACAGTTCAAAAACCCATTTATCCACCAGATTTCCACCTACCTTGAAATTTCCACAGATTTTTTCAGCACTCTGACTCTGATGTCCGTCTCTCTCTCTCTCTCTCTCTCTCTCTCTCTCTCTCTCTCTCTCTCTC